ACGGAGGAAGTTAGGGCAGGAGCTCAAATGGGACCCAAAGCAGAGACAACGGAGCAATGCTACTGGCTGGGTTACTCAAAGCATCATGTGTCTCTAGCTTCCCTATACAGCCTAGGACTGCCTGCCCAGAGCACTGTGCTGCACTTGGAGGGCTGAGTCCTCCTGTATCCATCAATGAATAATCTAGACACTCTCACCCCTACCCACACATATCCTTAGGCCAATCTGATCTATGCAGTTCCTTAATTTTGAGTTTCCTCTCTGGTGACTCTAGGCTGTGCCAAGTTGACAATGAATGCTGACTTAGACAAGTGGGTTACTTCTTTTAAATGGTCACAGGTAGCTGTGTAACCAGTGCACAGTGCTTGCCTAGATCTTCATCCTTATGTTTTCTGAACAAACACACATGAATGGTGTATGGGACATTTTTTATTCCTTTAGCCCAGCTAGCTCAGTTGAGCCTGGTATCTACACATACATCTGCAGGCCCAAGGTATTTATAGAAAATGTCTCAGTGTGTTTGAGTGTTCTCAGTGGCATGCTTCTGTATGTTCTCAGTGGTATGCCCTCTGTATGCATATCCTGATGAATGTTGATGGTCTATTCTTAGGTCACCACCTCGTGGATCCCCCTTCTTTCTACGGAAGAGATTTGTGGATAAAGTTTCCATTCTTGACCACATCATTGAACCCTAGCATCTGGGGGCTCTGATCGCATCTTTTAACTTTACTGACAGTCATTTGAGAGCTGAATGAACCATTGCTGTCTCTGGGTTTTGGGTGCACTAAAGATGCTGAAGAGTTGGCTTAATGGGGCTTAAGGGGGACAAATTGCTCAGTGATTAAGAGTCTTGCTGTGCAACCATGAGGCCCTGAGTTCAGATCCTGGAACCCGCCAGGCGGTGATGGTGCACGCCTTTAATCCGCACTTGGGAGGCAGAGGCAGGTGGGTTTCTGAGTTTGAGACCAGCCTGATCTACAGAGTGAGTTCCAGGACAGCCAGTGCTATACAGAGAAACCCTGTCTCACAAAACAAAACAAAACACAAACAAACAAATAAAAACAGATCCTGGCACCCACACAGCAATCTTAGTACTGAGATGACAGTGACAAGAGAGTTGCTGAGGCTTACAGGCTACTGCCTAGCTAAAGAACGTAGTTTCAGGTACAGGGAAAGACTCTACTTCAACGGAAAAAGGCAGAGAATAATGCTTCCCTAGACAAGGTTTCACTATGTAGCCTAGGCTAGTCTTGATCCACCTGACTCAGCCTACCCAGCTAGTATTACAGGCATATGCCTGACAGTTATTTTATAAATATGTTGGGATACGAAAAGTATAGATATTCCCTCAGCAACAATAATTTTCTCATTATTCTTATATAAAACCATAATACTGTAGGAGAATCCTTAGAGAATATGCTGGACTAAGGAGTTAGGACCCACGACCCCCATCCCCCACAACCACACCCCTCGATCCCCCACCAGAGGGCTTCCGCCATTTCTAATGAGCTCACACATCACCCTTTCTGTGGGAAGATATTATATAACCTTGAGTCTATTTTACAACATAACTAAGCAAAATATTGACTTTTAGCATAAAAACTGACCATATTTAACGAATGTTGAAAACCTCCAGTTACTCGTGATTATCAAGGTAAGATGATTCCTTTAGGGGAAAGTTCATTACAAACACCAAACAAAACAAAAAACCAGTGCTTAGCCACCTTATGGAATTAAAAACCATCTAAATTACTTGATATCTCCCTTTAGGTCTTCTAGAATTGAACAGGGGTCCTTGGTGGTAATAAATAATAATTTCTTTAGTAAGTGAAAAAAATTAAATATAGCGTATCCTATACTGACGAATAATGCCCTTATTTTAGAAACACGAAGATAGTTCTGGAAGGCCTCCCTGTATGAGGCACTTCTGAAAAGAGCAGGCCCATTTGGGACTTTGACACTTCCTAGAGGGTAGGTTAAACTCCAAGTCTTAAGGTTTGGATATATCTTAGGGCTTCCACTACAAAAAGCAGCTGCAAAAGTGAGACAAGGAGAGCCACCCATAATTTTACCATCCTAACACATTAATTGCTTTCATTTTCTTTGTTCTCTTTTAGTACTTGATTTAATGCCTTATTCCTTGCAGCTATAAATACAACACAGTTAAAATGCTATGTTCTTTCTTCCCACTCAACATTATATTATGAACTCTTTTGTCTTGAGGCTATTTTGGTTGCAAGGAACATTTACTCAGTTAAGTCAAATTATCTCAGAATAAA